ACTTTTTTATCTTAAAGCTAAATTTATATTAAACATTTAATTATTTCAACACATAAAAATAGTTTTGTTGATATAGAAAAAAAATATATAGAATTCCTATCTTTAAAATCAGCTCCATACAATTGATTTTGCATATAAATCACGATTTATTAAAAAAAAGTTTTAATAACAAAAAGAAATAGAATTAATTCAACTTATCTGCCTCCCATAACGTTGTGTATTCAGATCACGACAGTGACAGTGATCAAATACAATATATGATTACATTATATCCTATTATATATCAAGTCAAAGGTCAAGATCGACCAAATTGATGGAAGTATCAATAAAATAGCAATATTAAATAATGAATAGGTCTACAAACTTCTAAACCCACAGGTGTGGAATTAATGTTAACTGTCTCACAAAATCAATAGAAAATAAAGACTCAGAAACAATAATAAGCATAGAGACAATAGAAATAGGGAAAACACATAGGTTTCAAATTATCAGACATATGCATGGTTTTTAATAGGTCAAAGTTTATTATCTTTGCGATATTCCCTGTTTCCATTGCTTGTGCTTTTCAGTGTATCTGGGTTCTTGGACGGATACAACCAGCTGACGAGAGAGAGAGAGCTGGCGATAGCGTTTCTAGTATCTTTGCTCTCTTTCTCTTTCCCCCCCACCCTTCTCTTACTCTTTCTCTGTCTCTCCTTCTGTTCTACGAAAGTGCAGATGATGCGGAATGACAAGGCCGAAAGAAATTTCAAACATGTCACACGCACACGGATTCACGCGTGTATATACCCGCACGACAATGGATATAACACCATCGCACGTATTCGATACGTGTCTATATCGCGCCCAATTACATACGTAATGTATAAATCACAGGCGTTTTTCACGGCGCGGGGAAAGAACAGTCGAGTTTAGGGGCGGGATAGAGAGAAGATAGGAGGAAAAGTGGGAGAGAAGGTCCGAAATCGACGGAGCCGCCGACCAGGAAGTCGCCTCCGAGGAATCACGACAGGACGCTCTCCCCGCGGGACGTAGCTGCGATGGTGGGTCATCGTTTCTGATGTCATCGCGCGCGCGTTTCGCCACGGACAGGCGACCGCGGTCGGTCGTCGTTCACGAGGTGACGTTTGACGTGACGTACGTCGTCGCCGCGGCGAAAATGGGAACGGTACCCGTCGATCGCAGAACGAAAGTCACGGTGGGGAGCATCTTCAGAGTACAAAAAAAAAATTAGTCACATATTCAGGAGAGAGAAAGAGAAAGAGAAAGGGAGGAAGAAAGGGCGTGAGAAAGAGAGAGAGAGAGAGCGAAGTGGCGATTTACCTTTAAATAAATAATCGT